CAGAGACAGGATGAGCAAAGCTTAGACGTGAGGAGGAAGGAGGTAGCTACAGAACAGGGACTAGAGCAGCATCCCAGACAGAGGACCCAGTGCCCACAGGCCCTAGGCAGAGAGCTGGGTGTATCAGCGGCCAGTCCAGAGAGGAGGCTGGAGCAGAATGAGTGGGGAGCTGTATAGGGATGCAGAGGAATCAGGGCAAGATCCTGAAAGATCGTACAGGTCCCAGTGAAGAATGTCAATATTTGACATAGAGTAGGAAAGCAGGTTATAGGCTATGATTTACCTCTTTAAAGATCCCTGTGGCAGGGCCATGCTATATTTCCATAGCAGAATATAGCCATTATAGAATCCACTTACTATTCTGAGAAGGAAATTATGGGGCCAAGAGAATAAATATTGTCTCTAAAGAAAAATTTTAAGATAAGAAATGACTCCTCTGGTGGCCAAAGCTTCTCCAGATCTTCAGAGGGCCTGAGATTAGCCACACAGGACAGCAGCCTGTAGCCATGGCAAAACCCAGGGCCTCTGAGGCACCTTTGCTGGGAAATTATGAAATACCTGACATAGGCTACTTATGAAGCAAACAGAGGTTTATTTGGCTCACAGTTTGGGAGAATCAAAAGCCAAACAGAAATGTTTAAACATTATCTCTAAAGAATTTTAAAATGAGAAACCCTATTTAAGATGAGAAGTCCTATTGTTTTGGCCTCCATGGAGAGTGACAAAAGCCACATCTTAAACTGGAGGAAAGAGACGGAGATGGGTCCTCTAATCCCCTTCAAGGACACACCACTAATGACATAAGGACCTCCACTAGGCTCCTACCCCAATCCTCTATGGATAGAGGCAACCTATGGATCTGGTCTTCAAGCACAATGGATCCTCAAGGATATGATTAAATGATTAATTTATGACAGCAACCTATACTACTTCTGCATGCATTGTAAGCATTTAAGTCTTCAGAAACAGTTGAGAAGCCTGATAATGCAAGAGGCCTTGATTTCTTTAGCCCTTGGTTTATAGAATAATGATAATTTCAGATAAAATGTGACTCATTTGTAAATATTCTGAAACCTTAGAGATGAAAGGTTATTTCAAACCTTTGTTATATGAATATATATGCAAACTGTGTCTGCACTAACTCAAATTCTAAATTAGTTGCAATGTGAACTAATCATTTCAAGCATTAACGCTTGGCCTTGGGATGAAATTAAAGGGGAAACATTTAGGCAGCATCACTGGAGAATTACCCTCAAAGAAGATCACTAAATCCATTAATATTTTCCTAAGGGAAAAATGAAAGTATCATCAGCTTCTAATTCTAAACAAACAAACAAAAAAATAAGCTTGTGGACCATAAAAAACAACCTCGTGTGGGAACCCTGAATTATGATTTTCAGACCTCTCATTTTCAGTGTAACTAATGATTCCTAATATATTCAACAAGGAAATGTAAAATAGAAATTCAGGGCCAGGACTGTAGCTCCGAGGCACAAGTACCTGCCTGGCAATCTTGAGGTCATGAGTTCGATCCCCGGTACCAAAAGAGAGATCTCAGATTTATCCTCCCAGAGTGGTCATAGGAACTGTAATGGTACAGAAATATTACCTGTGTAGCTAAGTCCCAAGCACAGCTTAGAGGTAGAGAAGATGTACCAACAATGAGTGTGAGAGGAGTCATGTGAGAATACAAATAAAGAAAAATAGAAGTAAAAACACTAGTCCAGGGCACTATTTACTAAGCTACTCTGGGCTTCCCACTCTTCTAAGACAATGTTCACGCATGGTCTTTGCCTGACAGGCAACATCCCTCACTCTTTTCTCCCTTCTAAGCATCCCGTCATTCATCCACTAACATTTATGGAGTATCTGTTGTGGACCAGACACAGAGCTGGTCCCTGAGCCTACAGAGATGAGTCAAGCATGGCCCTTCTCCTCAAGGAAATCACAATCTCACCAAGAAAGGACACCAAGAAATGAAAAATCTGAAAAGAGATCTAAAAGAGAAAAGTGCCGAGTGTTGAGAGTGCCTAGGAAAGCAATGACTCAGAGCAGGCAGCACAGAGGGCAGGTTTTAGTCTCTGAGTCAAAATGTACTTCTCCAAGCTGTTAGAAGAAAAGAGTATGGGCCTGGGGTGGGGTGGGGGCGGGAAATGAGTGATGGGCACACTGAGATGGCCTGGGTCAGTGGTGGCAAACCTATGGCACACGTGCCTCAGCAGGCTGTTTGATCATTGAAAGCTCTAAAAGGTTTGCCATCACTGTGCTAAGCAGAGGTGAGCAGTTAAGTGAAAAAAGCAAACAGCACTTGCACAGAGTGGCAGGACTAAGTCGGGGTTTGAGGAAGGCAGATGGCAGCAGCATTATGTGGGCACCCTCCTCATTTGACCTTGGGACACGCCCTGAGCAGATGAGTCTCCTCTCCAGGCACCTCTCATCGCCATGAGAGCCCTTCTGTGTTCTGCACTGGTGACTTCATCCTGGGTTGCTCACAGAGGCTGTGGGTCATTAGTCAGGGCACAGTGAGCATGGTTGTCCTGCATCTCAGCTGGGCAGACCTAAAGCCTGGGGCGACTCCACCAATGGAGCTGGAGCCAGCCGGGCTTTGACGTGAGGTGGTGCAAAGTTCAGATGGCTGATTGGAGCTCCTCCCAAGGACACACTCAAAACCTATGGCCATTGTAGGATGCAGGGAGTTTGGAGGCAAAGAGCTGGGAGCTCAGGGTTTTTCACTGCTTAAGATAACTTATTTGGCTGCTACATATGTACTTGCTTTTGTTGTATTTCTTATTGCATCAGGTAACTGCTATCCAGTAAAAAAAATCCTCCAAAATATGATCTGCTCATCTGTTTGCAACCTCTGCTCTCTTCCACACCCTCAACTCTGCAGCAGACAGTTGCATGGCACTGCCCGCAGAGGCTCTATTCTGTTTCCTCCCTTGCTTTTCCAGATTTTTCCCTCCACTCATGTGTTTTCTGTGTGCCTAATAACCTCGTACTTCCCTTTCACAATTCAGTTCTGATGTCATCTTGTCTTGGAAACCTTGCCAAACCTCAAAGTACAGATCAGTGCCCTCCTCCACTCTGGCTCCCCTTACACGAGGAATTCTGCTCTACACTGAGCTGCAATTTATAGTCATTACCACCCCTCCCGCTGTCCCATGATCCCTCAAAACTCTTGCAGGTTGGAGATTTCATTACTCCTTTTGTCATCTTTCCAGCTCTCAAACATCGTAGTATCTACCGAATGTTGGTTTTTTGTTTGTTTGTTAGTTTGTTTTTTGGTTGTTTTTGTTTGTTTGTTTGTTTGTTTGGGGTTTTTTTTTTTTTTTGGTCTTTTTTTCCTTTTTTATTGGTACCGGAGATCGAACTCACAACTGCCTGCTTGCAAGGCAGGCACTTATGCCGCTGAGCTAAATCCCCAGCCCCTATCTACCGAATGTTTAACCGACCTGGACTTTTCATAGTAACTTTCAATATAATCCTTCACATTTTAAAAGCATTTTACAGAGCTTACTGTAGAAAAGCCCACTTACCATTTTTCGGCTTTAATCATTTTTATGTTTTTTATTTGTTCATATTTGCAGTATATAATAATCATATTCTTATGGAAAGTTGCTACATGTATATAATATACAAACTCTTTTATGTTCCCTTCCCTTCTCTTTCTTCCCCACTCACTCCATCTCTTGAAGGAAACAATAATAGATCAGAAGTGTGAGATGATTTGCCCAAACGCACTGATCAAGAAAGTGGCAGCGCTAAGACTTATTCCTCGAGGGTCTGATCTGTTCGGAGCTCGTGGATAACATGATAGAGGACTGGCACTGAGTACTCAGCCTCAAGTTCAAGGATTTACTTGGGGTACCATCTCCATCCAGTGCCCAGGGTCACACCCTAGCTCCATCAATTCTAATCCGAGCACCACTGGAAGGGAAGGCTGAGGTCGGACTTCCAGAGCCAAGGGGAGGCAGCGCACAGTGAAAGATTACTAGGGAAGTAGCCGCCCAGCTCAGGTTCAAACTGTGGTCAAGTCGGCAGGGCCACAGCTAGCAGCAGAAAGGATAAGAGCTTGAACTATTTCTTTTGCAACTCAGCCCCTGCTGTTGAATGGCAAAGCAAATTTTGTGTCAGAGTCTGAGTCCTATTGAAAGCATTGTAAATTCAAAACTATCAGAGAGAGCTGGGAATATATCTCTGAGGCATAAGTGCCTGCGTGGCAAGTGAAAGGTCCTGAATTCGACTCCCAATACAAAAAAAAAAAATTCTCAGCACAAATTTCTGAGATCTTCAGGTGCTTATGAATTGTCTTGGTTTAATTATTTATTTCTTAAGCAGAAAATATAGAGCTTGAAATTCCAAAGAAAAAGAGAAAAACTGTCCCTCATTCCTTTGTCTCCCTACCACCAATTTCTCCTCAAAAGCATTTCATGAATATTCAGGAAAACGTGTGTGCATGCACACATACATTCTTTTCTCCTATTTTCAAATAAAGAGTGACAATTGATGTGCTATTCTACACACTGATGCATTTTTTCACTTTAAAATGTCAAAATTCCTTCCACATCGGCACACACAGCGGCACAATGTGCCTTTGCATGACAACACCAAAATTTGCTTAACTAGTTTCCTGTTGAGGAACAGTTAGTTTGTTTCCCATCTGCCATTGTTATAAATAACATAGCAATAAATAGTCTGATAGATGCATCGTTGTGACCGCATGTGAGTGTATCTATAAGACAGATGTCTAGCCATGGAACTGCGAGATTGCAGGGTGTGGACATTTGTAATTTCACGAGGGATTGTTGCCCCATGGCCTTCTAGTAACGGGTACTAATTTAAAACCATATCAGAGCTGTAGAAGAGAACTTCCATACCCATGGAAGCCTTTAACATGTCACCCATCAGGAATGGTGAGAGGATTCAAAGAAGTCACAAACACTAAACAATTTCTCTGAATTTAAAACATAAAGATGGTGGGAATCAAAACCACAATGAGATACCACTTTACATCCACAAGGATGGCTTTAGTGCAAAACAAACAAGTGTTCAGGAGGACACAGAATAACTAGAACTCTTGTACTAGGCTGATGAGAATATAAAATGGTGCAGCCAATTTGGAAACACGAAGTTTATCAAAATATTACACAAAATTACCATATGGCCTAGACATTCCATTCCTATACATATACCCCAAAAAATGGAATATAGGTTCTTAAACAAATATTTCTACATGAATGTTTATAGCAGCAGTGTTTTTCGCAATGACCAAAAATTGGGAACAAGTCAAATATCTATGAAAGGGTGGATAAACAAAATGTGATATGCATCTAGATGAAATGTTACCCAGTCATTAAAAGAATGAAATTCTGGTACAAGATACAATATGGAAGAACTCAGGAAACATTACACTATGTGAAAAAAAAGCCAGACACAAATGGCTCCATGCCACATGATTGCTTCTACAGGAAATATTCAAAATAGGGAAATCTACTGAAACCAAATGCAAATTGATGGATTCAGGGTGGTGGAGGGAGAGAGAGGAAAATGGAGTCACTGGGTCCCGGGTTTCCTTTGGAACTAGATACACCTGGCAGTCACCCAACACTATGAATGAACAATGTACCACTGCAACTGCACACTTCAAAATGGTTAATATTTGTTATGTAAATTTCACTTCAACAAAGGAAAAATTTTAAGGTAGAAATGTCTTCTTTCCACTGTACTGATATTCTTGGTCATCGGCTTTTTGTCACCTGCTTCTCTGGAATCCCCTCCAGATTCCTCTACATAGAGAAAGCAGGAGAACTTCCCAGCGGCTCTCTGGGAAGGAAGAACACAAACACTAGTTCACAGCACATGCCAGGCAGTGAGTCTGCTGCTCGTTACCCATCTTCCCATAAACTCTTCATCAGAACCCTGCATATCATCCTCTTCCTTTGACAGATGACTTGGTGTACAAGTGGCCTGCCTGGTGTGACTTAGCTATGAAGCAGCAAGTCACAACTGTAAAGCCAACTTCTTTCTGTCAAGCTCTCAGGAGGAGTCAGGGACAATAGACCCTTACCACCCCCAAGAACCACTCTTGATTGTACAGTGACCTGGGCTTCTGGCCAGGCTGCTCTCGGGGAAGCTCCTGTCTCCTCTTCAGGGGACCTGCTACTGCTACAGCTAACCACAGGCATTTCCTGAAGCCCAATGTGACCTGGCTCACTCGCCAACCTAACAAGTGATTGAGTTCATGGCACCCCATAAATGCTACATGAATTAAACTGAGCTTAGTAGATTAGAATAAATGAAATAAAATAATTCATACTGTCTATGGCCTTACACACTCAAATTCTGATGTTTGAATAAAATGATCCTATTGTGATATAAAGTGAAGGGAGCTCTGATGCTAAACAGACCTAGCTGCAAATCCTGGATCTGCTGCTCCCTGGTTTGTGTCCTTGAGAACTCAGTTGACTCATCCATAAAGTGGGACTACAAAATATAAGGAGAAATTAACAGTGCAATGTGAGAAGGTGACTACCACATTTCATTGACAAACTATTCATGAAGGACATACTGTATATAAGGCAGCATGCTGGGGTTTTAAAATAGGTTTTTGATAAAGTTAAGGCAAACATAATTCCTGAATTAAGAGACTTTCATTCTAATAAAAGAAACAGCCATTAAATAACTAATTATAATTAGGAGCCTCACCTAATTGGAGGAGAAGCAAATATCTGGGAAGGCTTTTTGAGGGAGTAACTTGGGAGCTCAGGCTGAAGCATAAGGAGATGTTAACTGGGTCAAAGCAATGTTCCTGCAAAAGGGACAGTAGGTGCAAAGACCCTGAGCAGGAAATGAACGTGGCAAGCTTGGGTACCTAAAAGGCAGCCAGTGTGGCAGTGCCCAGACTTTTAGGAGACGGGGGAGGGAAGGTACATTCACTGCTAAGTAAAACTCACATGCCCAGTGCTGCCCATCTCGGCACCCTGCCATTGACGCTCACCAGCCCCTTTGCTGGTCTTTCTGCTTGCTTTGTAAGCTTCTCCTGCTCATTCTTCAGGGAACTATTACAAGGGCTTTTAAAAGACACAACCAGGTTCAAATCAACCTCCACTTAACATTCTCCAGTGGCCACCTGTTGTTTTCAGGAGACTAAACATTGTCATCCCTCATGTATCTTTTCATCCGTTGGTCCCGGGAAGCCTCCTCTCCTAAAGAAACATCCCCCACCTTCAGCTCTTGTTGCCAAGATAGCTATGGATTACACAAGAGAATACACCACCAACCCAATCCCATACCCAGGAATGGGGAGCACAATTCAGAGCAAGTACTCTGAGTCACGGCATGGAAACTGAGCCAAGGTTGGAGATAAGAATTAAAACAGTATAGAATCGATCCAAACGTCTTTCATGGGAGCTTGAAATAAAGAATTCCACAGGAATGTCCAAAAGGAGAAAGGGTTCTATGATGCATACACACACACACACACACACACACATCGTGGGTTGGGGGCAGTGAGAATGCAAATGAAACAAGGTAGAGAGAGGAGAAATGTGATAAAGACAGACCCTCGGGCCCAAGAGAAAGACAGGGCTTCCCTGGCCCCAGACACTCTCACCTCCTTCCGGTTTCTGGTTCCTCCTGCCCTAGACTGGCCAGCTCTGCCTCATTCTGACTCAAGTTGGCCACTAGACCTTTTTCGTCCCTTGTCATCCAAGGAGGAATCTCCGACCCTGAATCTTCTGGGTTAAACTAGACTGAACTCTCTTCTGCCTCCGCTCAGGGTTTCCAAGAGGGCGGCTCCTGCCAGAGTCATCAGCCTCTTGCTCTTTGCCATCTCCTTTGGCTCTCAGAGTTTACTCACAGCTGATGTTCCCTGGGCATCTGTGAGATAAAAGTGAGAAAATGGAATTTACCTCCATAACAACGGCTGGGCAAGATTGTAATCACAGGCATTTGGGAATTATTTTTCTCATCAAATAACAGTTTTAACTGACATACCCTGGATGCAAAATGGCATTTTTCCAATGTGGGACCTAAAGTGATCCTGGAACAAAAAGGCTGGAGGGAAGAGGTGGAAGGGAAACAGAAGGGGCAGGTGGGGAGGTCTGTGACACCTGTGGTAGAAAGTATTTACCTACAGGCGAATATCTATAAGTACCTGCTCTCTCACTAAATTTGCATGATCATGATAGCACATCACACAGAGAGAAATGTGCATCTGGCTTCAGAGCCTACACTTCCTTCTATTCTTTTCTTAGACAGAACATTTAAACCACACATAAGGAGGAAGCTGTCCACAGTGACACAGAGCTGTGCCCTTCTTGCAGGGGTCTGGTGCTTGTTATCGTATTTGTTATTACTGTGTTGACCTTGAGGGCCACAATCATGGTGTTCCACTCCATTCTGGAAATGGAAGCATGTGCAGCCTTTCAGGACCCAGGACCATCCCTGGACACAGGTAGGCAATGATTCCCTGTGCCTTGGCCACAAACCCACAGGTACAAAGCCAAGCTATTTGAATAAGTGGTCAATCGGCCTGCTGGGTCTTCTTATGAACTGGAGAGACAGCTCTAGCTGTGATGGAAATAATCCAGTGATGTGGCAAAAATGAATACGAAATAGTCTGGCTGTCATCTGCTTATTCTGTGCAAATGCCCAAAGGCATCCTTTCCAGGCATCCTCTGTGTTGAAATTCATGAAACCATATGCACATGCAGCAAGAAGCACTTTTAGCAAATACTGTTTCCCTTTCCCTTTTCAGACTGCCTTGGTACTAGGGGCCCATGTGACTAATCCCGACCAAAGGTCTGTGGATTATTTCTAGGCAGACATAGTCAGACCAATCTTCTGCATCCACCTCTGTCCTGGCCACCCAGTCCTGAGAGCACGGTTGAGGGATGGGAAAGGGAGGCCCAACAAGAATGTGACTTGGCATGAACAAGACATGAAATTTTCTGCATTCAGTCAGAGATTTCAAAGTTTATATGTTAACACAGCCTCGCTCAGTTCATTCCTACTCCGGGTCTCACACTGCCAGATTCTAGGCAGGGAACTCTGGAGTTTGTAGTCTTCATCGGGAAACCGGGCAGGCATTCCACATCGGATTTGTGAGGCTCGGGCCACAAAGCTGACAACTGGGTAGAGATACCACTAAGCAAAACCATCCCTGTAATTCCTGCAGGAGGGGCAAGTGTCTTGAGATAAAGTCAGCCTGACAAGCACACAGGTAAAACCCAAAAAAATAAAATTTCCTTGAGCAGAAGGCACAAATGTGGTCACCAGGCAGCCTTAAGTTGTCGCACTAACTTCTAACTTTGTGACATAAACTATTGTAAAACAGAAAAACAGACCAGTATAATGAATTTTTATTCTGCTTGTCATGCAGACAATTGTTTTTATTTGTCAGTGTAGTCGTATGTATCCCATTTTTTTTTTCTTTCCCTGTAGCACTTTTAAAACATTTATCCAATAACTGGCCTATAGCTGTCATCCCAGATTAGCTAGCTGGCATCTATCTATCTACACCCTTCTACAGTTCATTTGTTTAAATCAGGACCCAAACAAGTTCTAAACAGTGAATTCTGTTGATAGTGTCTTTAAATACTGATTATAGATGCAATAGTTTACCATACACATTTTAAAATTCCATTTATACACATTAGCTATAAACGCAAAGAAATGCATTTTTAAGGCTCTGTCTAGTCTGATCTCTCATGGGGGCCAAAGAAATGTTGCAGACATCAACTGAAATATCAACAGCCACCAGATCATGTCTGGTCCACAAAAGCCACACAGTTAAATGTCCAGTCAGACCTCCTGTAGCAAACACACATGACATGTGGCCCCTGAAGCAAGTCAGAGCTGAGACCCAGATGGACTCTTCAGAAAATGCCTTCACAATGAAAAGAGGCTCTGCAGGATATGTGTCCATCTTGTTTGCTCCAGGATACATGAAGATGCCATCTGAGCCATAAGAACTATAGGGACGGTAGTATTCTATCAGATAAACCAGAAAGTGGCCCATGACTCTGGTCCTTATATTTGTTACTTACCAGGAATAAGTGACTTCTGTGAGACAGCAGCTGGGAAAGGTATTTGGTTCATGCTTCTGGAAAGGAATGGACCAGCCTCAGGTTTAAGCCTGTGACTTTGGCTTAAAGTGCAATACCATCAGCTGTGAACAAGTGTGACCAAAGGTCTAATCTTGCATGGTTGGCTCACTACCAATGTCAGATGATTATCATCTACTGTTAATGAAGAACTAAAGAACATTTTGCAGACTAAAAGAAGGAGGCAGAAAGACAAAAGGTGAAAGACAAATAGGGACAGAGACACAGAAGGTAAGAGTAAGGATGCATCCATCCATTCATCCATCCATCCACCCACCTAACATCACAAGAAAGAGCAAGAAGGAGCCAGAGGAAGGGTTAGGCAGAAATCAAGCAACCATGAGATTAAAAAAAGCAGAGTGAAGATAAAAACTATCTTCCCAAGTCTGACTGTTTGCTGGAGAACACGGCTCCAAAAATAAGCCACTGCAAAAGACACTTACAAGCACCCTTGTGGTTTTGCACAAAGAACACTTTCCAGCCAGCTTGCGGAGTTGCCCATGCTGGCTCCCAGGGTCCTCTGAACAACCAGCCTTTGTTCTGTCTTCCTGCCGTGGTAGAAATAGGAGCAATCAACACACAGCATATCTGATATGGGTTATAGATTTCAAAAGGGACTCAACCACCAAAGAGAAAGTGGAAAAGACAGGAGAAAACAGACAGCTGTGGCTGGACGATGTGCCAATTAAGTAGTCTTGTTTGGAGTAACTTCACATGGCAGTGAGATCAGGGCATGTAAATGATCAAAAGCAGTTGGGACCCTAACCCATCAGTCATGAACGATGCTTAAGGCTGGTCCCTTTGAATGCTGTTTTAGCAGTGGTCTCCTACAATACATCTTAAGGAACATTTATACTGTGTTCACTGTGCATTCAACTGTGGCCACTTCAAAGGTTTAGCCAAGTATTTTATGGCCATGGTAAAGGGTTCTTATTGATTTAAATTACAAGCTTGGCTCCCGTCAGCTCCACTTGAGGGCAAAAATGCAATAAAATATCCCACAGCACAAGAGACAGACATATCGCATTGAAAATCTTCAGAGATCTTTTTCACTATAATCACTCTCAATGATATTTATTTATGTGGGCAAGGTTATCAGAGAGATTTGTCCACAATCTTTAAGTTATGGGTGCTTGTCTTGGTTTGGGTGTTTGTTTTTTTAAAAATCTAGCTCTGATCCTGGCCACCCAAAAAGGTCATAAGTGCATGCTGTGTCCCTGGTCTTAGAAGTGCTCACCTCTCCCTGGCTGCTGACAGAATTGCTTATTCCAAGCACAGTGACATTGACATACTGGTCATCATAGCTGAGGGATTATGGTTTTCAGTTCTCCAATTATTTGCATATCCAGCAGGCCAGGCTCAGATGAATGAGTGGTGTCAAAACGTGAACGACAAGCTTATCAAGGCAATGGAAGGCTATCCCAGGATAAATTGTCAGGGGGACAAACTTCACTATGGAGACAGACAAGAACATGCTTTCTATTGGAGGACTGCGAAATTGAGAGGGATTCGGAAGCTGTCAATATGCAACACTGCTTATGCTAGTCACAAAACCCTGGGGTGCTCAACACAAAAGCAGCTGCCTTGCCCTGAGAAAAAAGCAGAAAGCCAAAGCCGGATAGTCAGTCTGCTTCATTCCTGATTCCTTTCTAATAATTTGCCTGAAACATACTCAAGACAGAGCTAACCCCTGGACTTATACAGAAAATAGCAAATGACTATTACATATTTGACATTTGAAATAACATGTTTCTGGAGGGTTGGTATTACAAGAGTCATTTCACTTCAAAATGTTATTCCTAATGTAATTTTTTAAAATTCATAAGAAGCACTTGCTAGAATTCAGTGTAGCACTAAAGTCACTCAAAAGACAGAGGTCAAATTCATTTCATTTCTTTTATGTTTTCTTCTCTCTGCTAGATGAAATAAATGATTAAGCCTAGAACACTTGGCAGTTCAGCGAATGTGCTCCGTGGCACCATTACAAGATCGATTTTCTCAATACAGGAGTCTTTCTAGGGTGCACATTGCTTAGCTGACATCTGTCGCCGTTGTCATGGCAGCACTCTCTCCAGCATAGTGAGAGGTCAGGCCTGACAGGGAAGGCCTCGCCAGCTCTACCCCAGTCACTTCAAGGTTAACAGCCAATGGACCAAAGAAATAGGCAATTATAGTACAGTCAATTCCGGTTAAGGAAATATCTGAGAAGTAAATATGTCTGATAAGTGGATGGAAATGAAACAGCCAATGCCATTGATGCAATCCCATAATATCAATACCATTTTGTGGTGCAGTTTGGTTGTTCCATGTAAAATTTCCATGCTCAAAGAAATGTAACAAGAGAGGGAATAAGAAAAATTCATTATGTCGCCATTAGCCTCTGTACTTGAGGGACCCGCAGATGGGTGGGTAAGCAGTAGAAGAACAAACCTTCTTCAAGGAAAAAGTGCAAAAATCCCCTGGACCTGCACCCCTGTTGGTTTAGTCCTCTGATTCTTCCAGCTTCATATCTACCTAGACAATTCTAGGCATTTTGAAGAAAAGTGACTTTAAAATCACAATCCTCATTCCCATCTCATATTAATGAAGCTTATTATTTATCAGGATACAAATCCTTCCTATGAGTTACAACGACCCTGGAATACATCATATTATTCTTAAAAAGTTCCAAGTCACCAATATGTTACAACTAATAATTCTCAAATATATGCATTTCCACTAAAGCATAACCTTTGATAGACAGAGAAAAGGTATGGTTTTAATAGATGTTCGTCGGGGAGAATTAGAAAAATGGCAAGTGGAACTAAAATGTAAAGATTTTCAATTACAAGTTACATCACCCAGGAATTCAGTTACTGACAATGTCTTCAGGTAGTGCCTCCTGAAATTCATTACAGTGGGCACATTTGTATTACACACTCCTGATTAAATCTTGTAGTTAGCATAAAGAGATCTTTGGCTTTCATCAAGCACCTCAAAGAATGGCAATGACTTTTCTTCAACTTTGAGATTTTGTTACAAATGAAGAACAATGGGAAATTATGAGTGTGTATATATAATATATTATAAAGTATATCTTATATATCATTTACGTAATATATAGGAAAGTAAGAGTACATATATAAATGTTTTGCATAGATATTTTACCTATATGCATATACACATTTATGTATGATTTTATACATAAAACCACTGTGGTTACTCATTTCAGATTCTTATGAGAATGTTTTCAGTTGTGCTTAGTGACTTCTGAGGTCTGTGGTCCATCCTCAGTCACATGGAGAGGTGAAATCTCTTTAAGCAGTGTTCCAGTTGCATTTTGTCAACTTGTTTCTGTGAGTACCACTTTTAAGCCAAAGCCACTAGTGTCTCCCTTGTGCTGGCTGTGCACCTAATGTGACCAGCTGACGTGACTCCACAAACAGGTGACTTTATTTGAAAACTCAGCAATATTTTAGAAGGGTTACGTGTGGATTCAAGAAAGAGTAATCCACTCAAATAGCTTCAGTACAGAGGATTTTGTTGTAAAGATATAACAGGCAATCCTGCAGAGGACTGTAAACATAGACAAGACACAAATTATATTCAGGCTGAGTGCAAAGTAGAACTGGAATGTGATATCAGAAGGCAGGGCTATTCTCTCTAAGGTATTTCATCTCGCCATGCTGTTCTTACTCTCTCTTTACCTCTTTTTTCCAACCAGTTTCCTCTGCAAGCAACATGGCTTAACTTGGCATGACCTTTCAGATAGAGCTCTATCCTCTTCCATTCAGCTTCTCAGTGTCCCAGTTCCAAATTCCTGTAACAGTCTGGTCAGCTCTGCCCGGACAGTAAATTGGTGCTCTTAAGGTCAGGTGCTTGCTCACTTGTGCTTAATTAGTTGGGATGGGGGTAAGAGCAGGTAAGGGGTTATGAGCAAAGCCTACAGTTTAAATGTGACTGCCCTGGTGGACCCTTAACAAGGCAAGATACACACTGAAAACTCATGACAGATATGACACATGAATAAAAATTTCCCACATATCCCAAAGCTTTCAGATAAGAATTCTTAAACGGAACGATGCTGAGATGGGTGTTCATTCGACAATATAATCATGAATTCGTTTTACTTGCAGTATATTCAGTCACCTATATTGATATAAAATGACCACCTCTGCAAAAAAAAAGGTACACGAGCTCCTCCTTCTTAATTTCAGGGGGAAAATGCACTCGGGAAAACAAAATACCTTGCTTTCCACCACGGGCCTTCACCAGCTTTGTATCCTATGCTCCTGCAACCTGTGTTTGCCCTGCAGAGAAGCTAACCTGACCTCAGTCTGTTCCCTATCCACCTCCCTTCCTCTTCCCCATGCCACCTCCACACAATGCTGCCACGCTACCCTCTCTCTGGGCCAGACAGTCATGAATTATGATGAACATGTGGAGACTTTCACAGAACAAGCGAAGGGAATGCCTGGCCTCTGGAAGTAGGGCATTTTCTCTTAAATGGACACTGGATTTCATTTGCTAAGAGCAAGCATGCAAGGTCTGTCCTTGAGGGCCAGCTCCCTCATAAAGCCTTCCCTTGACTACCTAGATGAAAAATCAATAATCCCTCCTTAGAGAAAGCATTTATTGTCTCTACCCCTGTTTCCCAAATGTGAGAACTTGTGGTTCCTGAAATGATAAACCTACAGGCCCTGTCTGAGAATCAGTACAATTAGAAGTCAGGTCCTATCACTTGAGAGGACACCTGAGCCATCTTAAGTCATAAAATACGGACATGAAGTCACATGGCAGTTCTAAGGTATTAGCCAGATGTTCACATGACCCAGGATATTCCTCTACTAGTATTTAAATGATCATTAAAATAAAGGCACAAATCATCGCCATCATTAAAACTCAATTGCAATACATCATTTGAGACCTGGGATGCCTGGGATGCCCCAAGGGCTCTCACGCCACATGGGCCCCTATGGAATTAACCAGATGCCACCTCCACCATTCTGAACTGACTGTGAAGCTCTGACTTCTGAAATGCTGAGCACCCTCCACAGCTTGGTAAATTATATATCTTCTGTTTACACTTGATCAAAGCCATAAATCCCAGGCTTGTTTGGAATAGTGATAGATTTCCAACTTGCTCACCTGTACACCTTGTCAAAACACCCCTCCTGGTCTGGCACAGACCTTGGGATGCTAGACTCACCTTCTGAGCAGGAATGCCTATTATTGCTAAAGCAACAGTGCCAATGACT